TTACAGTATTCGAATCTAGGCAAAACTGCCTAGATTGAACATTCCAATATGACTCTACAACGTAGGTTTTCAAAAAAAAATATAGAAGAACCATTCCTTATTGGGAAATTAGAGAGATTAAGGGATGACTGTGTTTGGAGAATATTGAGAGTACCTGGCAACCAATTAACCCCGTTTTAAATTTCCCTGGTACGCCATAAAATTAATAAGGTAACCTACATGTTATTGAAATTTAATTTCTTCTAAATCTATTAACTATTGAACTATATTTTGTATTTTATTTTATTGCGGTTATGAAGTCATTAATTTAATTAAGCTTAAAAATTTAACGATAGCCACATTACTATCGACTGTTAGGCGGCACGAATAGTATCATAATATATAATTCACGAGAGCTCCTACAACGTCATCATCAATAAGTTTTATTTTCGTTTATGTATTTATATTCAGTGTTTAATTTTATTGTTATTTATTTATATGATGTATATTATATACATACAAAGTCGCATTAATGTCGATGAGTAAAGAATACAATTCCACCTTTTGGTTTTTACTAATTGAATTAACTCAATAGATAAATGCAAAAAGCTTAGCTTTTCTATATTGATCTGACCGGACGCCGGAGCTATATTTAGAACACAGACATTCGCTGTACCATACACTTATTATACTTTACGTTTCAATAGTTTTCCATTTTGCTGAATTTATTTCGGTACCCAACTATGTTTGAATTCAACATGCCCATAGCTACGTATTCGTAGTGTGTTCGTAGTCTATTTCTGTGCTACGATCTGCTACGGATCTGCATATTAAATGTAGCAAGCGACTCGAGTTAATTTTCGTGGTATAAATATAATTATGTTATACTCACAGAAACAAAGGTTATACTGAATTCCAACGGAGGAGTTTCTCATTTCGTCGTAATATTTTTTGATGTGTCACAACTTTCCTTTCGCTTTCTTACAATTTGTGCGAGTGAGTAGACGGATGTATGTATGTAGGAAGAAGTCGAGAAAGCGCGGACTATTTGATTTAATTTTAAAAGATGATTTTAAAAATTCTTTATTACTCTTTATACTAATAATCATCATCAGCGTCAGCCTATCAATGTCGCCACTGCTGGGGCACAGACTTTCCCCATGGATGGAATAGGGAGATTGGGCCATGACCCACCAGGTGGGCCCAGTGCGGGTTGGTTAACGACTGCAAATGCAGCCGAAACCAATGGCTTAACATGTCTTCCGAAGCACGGAAGAGCTTGAAATAATAAGTTTTTGGTCACCCATGCAATGACCGACCATTGCTCGGCAGGCCGTGCACTAAACAGCTGTGCCATCGGGCTCCTCTACTAGTTTGTCTAGTCTAGTTTTGTCAGGGCGAAATATTTCGCCTAGTGAGGTGAATCACGCCGGCGAATTGTTGGGGGCACCTTTGCTCCGTGGCTGAGTCGGCGGACCGGCGGGGTTTGACCTAAAGTTTACATTAACATAATATGATTAGAAAATTAAATTAAGTTTTTTTTTACTGAGATCAGTCCCTAGTTTTAGTTTTAAGTAATTATAACCATATAATATTAGATCGTTGTATATGAACACAGTTTGTTAGTTTAAATTTTTTTTTTAATATAACTGTTTTTTATTTTTTTTGTTCAACTATATCTTGGATAGGAGAAAAAAAGGTCACAATGGCTTGGGTTTCCCCTACAAAGGGAAAGCCCAAGCGGGGATTTTTGGAATTTCTCAAGCGTGCCAGAAAAACATAAGGAGCACTTCACACATTGTGTAGTACTCTCTCAATGCCTAAACCCTCTGTGAGGGCCAAATGTAAAGGCCAGCAAAAATCATTAAAGAAAAACGTCCTATTCTCATTCTCAGATTTACACACAAAATTTCGTTAGAATCGGTCAAGCCGTTTCGGTGAAGATTTGTTACACGCCGACATGACAATTTAAATATTATGAAAGATAAATTTTCGCAACCTTATTTCTTTGGTTATTTATATTTATTTCAGGCGTAAGTTATAGTCCCTCACGGACAGAGGACCATGTTATAGTACTGAGGCTATAACATCGTCCTCTTCAAGAAATGCTTAAATAGAGTGTTCCACGAAAGGCAGCGACATGGCTGTACCACTGGCATTACTGATGTCCATGGCTGGCGATGGCCACTTTACATCAGGTGGCCCGGCCACTCATCTGCCTTTGAAGGCAAAAAAAAATATTAGTGTAAGTATCAATATTTATAAAAAAAGGTTAGTTGTATCACAAAGTATAGACACATACACTCACAAACATACACACATGCGGATGAACTTTGAGTCTATGTTAGAAAAATAATATTAAGAATAGCATTGCATGGTCAATAATAAGGATTTCAACTGTATTTCTTGGCATGCTTTGCGGTGTTAGAACACTGCAAACCATGCATGCAAAATAATTATACCTTTGTCTAGAGTCAAAGGTATAATTATTTTCGGCGAAAGCTCCCCGTAACTGATATGTTGAACTCTGCACCACAAAAACTAATTAGCTAGTGCCAAACAAAGCCGAGCACAGAGTTCTGAAGTGTTTAGTTGTGTGCATTATTCCATTCAAATTAAAGAAGTAGACAGTTACATTAATATTTATTTATACAACTGTTGTATAATGAGAGGTATTAAAACCTGAATCCTCTGTAAAAGATTCTGAAACCTTAGGACGTTCTAAGTGTCGCCGCACACGGGCCACCGACCACAACCACAAAACGCCGCCACCGGCATATTTCTTGTAGTTCATACATTTTATATGGACTCGCCACACACTGTACACCGGTGTCCGCCACACGCTACAAATCGTCGTTGCTCGCTTCTTGTGGCCCGCACCGGCCATTTAATGCGCCGATACAAAACGCCGCCACACATCACTCGCGCGATTACCCAACCCTCTCTCCCTAACCTTAGTCGGCTGCTGTATTTGGCAATTTAGTAGGCGCTTCTAGCTACTCGTGGCGGCGTTTGTGGCTGTGGCGTGTGGCCCGTGTGCGGCAACACTAAGAAGTCAAAATTCATTACAAAGTGTCAGCGCTGTGAACGCACGAGAATGGCAATATTCTCTATTTTGAAATTCAGATACCACGCTAGATTTTAGGGCTCGATGCCCTAAAAATTGTGGCCGTCTAATGAGTAAACCTTTTGTACGAAAGGAATCGATAAAGCGAAAGTATGTGATTATGAAATATATTACAACATTATAACACCCGTTTAAATAATATTGTGGTTATCAGGACATTGGAAGTTTTAATGTTGGCAAAAAGCTAACTGTTCCAGAACCTTTTATAGAGATTTTAAAGCATGGGTGTGTGAAACTATGTGATATTTAATAGTTGTGTAATGGTAAAAATCTGTAAGTTCATCTCAATAAAAGGCAGAGTTGGTATTATTTAATACAAATGAACTTTAATATCCTTATTTGATTACATATTTATTTTTGTTTCTTTAAGCTTTACGTGGATACTAGAAATTGGCTGTGTTACTTATTTGAAATGAAATAAGTACGTTATAAACGCTGTTGGCTTTAAAAAAAAATCAATTACAACCTTATAACTTTGGCTGTAGTAGACAAAACCACTTCTATTTAACAACACTCACTGGACAGGTTTAAGTTGTCGTATATTTTAATGGACTTTTTTATCAATCACTAAATTATGATTAAGTTTTAAGATAAGCTACACGTATGGAATTGACAATACGTACTTATTTGATATTGCGAAGTTAAGTAGGTAATATTTTCTGTGGAAAAAGCTTGAACGCTGAACAAAGGGATAAAGAACTTTTCAATTCGACTTCTAACGCTGCTCTTGGCGTATTTTGAAAGTGAATTATTCAATACCTTTTAATGCTAAAGTAAAAAAAAAAGCTGAAATACTGCTGATTGTACTTTTCGCGAGAACAAATTTTAAAAGTATTTTAACGGGAAACGGAAGTTTTGGATACCATTGTAAGCGGTGGCCTGTTAGTATCTTTTCTGGTCTACAACTTAAGCTCACTTGCAGGAAATTTATTAAATCTTGATTCTACTAAAACTATATTTAACCCATAGAAAATGTCAAAACGTCAATTTGACATTATTGTATTCAAATTTATTGTATGGTCTTAATCTAGTTTTATTTAAAACGATATTTAACAAATTTACTAAAAGTGAGCTCATCGAGGCACAGACTTATCAATATAAAGGAATCATTTTTGTTAAAAAAAAATTAGTGGTGCACCCTTAACATTTAGGGGGATAAAAATAGATGTTGTCCGATTCTCAGACCTACTAAATATGCATATAAAATTTCACGAAAAACGGTCGAGCCGTTTCGGAGTAATTCAATTAAGTGACACGAGAATTTTATATATGAGATGAAATTGGAAGCACGGATTATTTGTTACTTGAATAAGGACCAAGGGTACTTTTTTATTCCGGAAATGTGTTGGTTTTCATAGAACTTACTGCTTAACGTTTATACTTATAATTTGCTATAGATAACAAAATACCCTGACATGAAGCTATATATTTGTGTGTATAATTTAAGTTCAAGCAAATAAAAAGCGCTTAGTTTAAAAGACACTTCAGAATACGATGGTCACAAGATACGTACACTTACGAGTATATATAAAAACACTACGTCTAACAAAATTAAACAAAAGTCCAGTTATTTTTTATCTTTGATAAACAAAATAACATTAAAAAGGGTTTTTGAATTCGTTCAAAGTAATAACAAACGATCAAAAAATAATGCAAAACGAAAAAAACAAACAAAAGTTTCCATCGAACAAAAGTGTTCAGTTTCCCCAAAGAAGATTACAAATATCGCATTCCGTTTCCTAAAACAACGTCGTATTTCCTGGAAACAGTATACGAACACTTATTACGAACACGAAAGTTCCCGACGACCATACTTCGTACTCAGGCAAGAGGCAGAGCATTTTTCTCGCATCCCATTACAATTTATATCACTTTCGGAAAGTTTACAACTTACCGGAGTTTACTTAAACTTTTCACCGAAGTAGTTCGTCCCAATTAAGGAGGAGTAGAAAGTCAGTGTCATGACACAATTCACTCATTAGCATTGTTATATCAAAGTTTTGGAAGTGTTTTCGAAGCCGCGTGTATCGAAAATCATCGCGCGAACATTAGAAGCGCACCGCAGCCAGCCGCACCGCGCGACTGAAACTCACGACTGAGCGACCGGCCGTCTCGCGCGCGCTCCAACTTTATATAAAATGCCTTTATATACCAATTTATATATTTACCCGCACTCATACATATTTAACTTTTTTCCCATTTCACGTCGTTTATTCGCCGTATGTGAGTCCGGGCCGCGTGTGTGTGCTCCCAACATCCGCACGCTGCGAGCTCCTATTTACGTGTTTTTAGGAAAGGGTGATGGCTTTTATACCTTTCATTTCTACTATTCCGCTGTATAGTGAGCGTGGGTCTCAATGCCGCACCGCAAAAATATTTCGCTTCGATTTATGAGTCTCGTTTTTGCCAGTAATATATTTTTCGATCGGAATATTTTATCAATTTCCAAGTACCGGTTAGCTTGGTCGTACGGACGCTGGGAGCGTTTCAGAATTTATATTGGCATTGGTTTTAAAAGTCAGACGCACTTTTATTTGTTTAGGTACGTCCATTTGGCCGGATAGGGTCGAATAATTTTTCCGTAAGAAAAATAAAAAGCCCGCATCTACTAATGTAAGCACTCGATTCGAAAACAGATGAGAAGCGAAAAGTGTATTCAAGTTCCCTTGGGAAATATCATCCTACACACCAGGTCTTCGGAAATCTTTTTGATACTACAAAGTGATGGATCATCGAACATATTTATGTATCAATTTGAAGAAATAGGGGAAAATGTAAAAACTTTATTAATTTTTCCTCATCTCTTCAAGTTGGTACACATATCTCTAAATACCCTAAATTCTGATATCATCATATTCATTATGTCTATGGTATCTTTAAAAACCTCAACAAAGGGTTGTTTTGTTAACATACAATTCTGGGTTACCTACAATGCGAAGAAATGGCGCTGCCTTGCAGCTTAAGAATGGCTAGAAGAATTTCGACGCAGCCGTCAGGGCCGCGGTAGCATAATTGGTCAGTGCATTCACCCGGATTGCGAAGGGTGCGGGTTCGAGTCCCGTCTGCTACCTGGTCCGAGTGGAATTGTTTCTAGCTATATTTTCTTTAGATTTAAACATCAAGCAGTTACATACTTAAAAAATATAAACATACAATGTGTTAAATTTCCTATCAGCCACATAAGGTTCCATGTCTTCACGAGGTAGGTGATTGGGTCAGGGTAAGCAAGGATGCGAGTGGTATTTTTTACATTGCAAGCATCTACAGCCGATGGTGGTCGCTTACCATAAGGCGGGCCATACGCTTGTTCGCCACCTTTCTAACATAAAAAAAATATACACAATACTAACAATTTATTAAAAATTGACCCAGTAGATTACATAGTTGTTATACCGTATAATAGGTACGCTGTTAATTTTTATAGGACCAACTCTATTATGAGACGAAAAATATGAAACCGATTTAAAGTACAAGTATGTATGAAAATATCATTATCGTATATTATCAATAATATAACTCCTTATAACCCGTTTCATAGCGTTATACATTTTGTCACGTCAAATGTCAGAAAAAGGCCTATAATGAACCACCTGTTGATGTACTCCTGTTTCAAATAAATGACTTTGGTTCTTGTATCGAAAAATTGACAATCAGTCAGTATGATGAATAGTATTAACAGGGAATAGATAACCGCGATATTTCATCGAGGACATCAGCCCTCGACTTCTTTTGCGACGAATAATCCTTTGGAGTAACGACAGAGTAAAGACAAAAATACATCCACCTTATACACAGTTTTGCGACAATATTTTTTTATTAAATCACTCATTTGTGTTATGATATTTTTAATTTACTTTCTTTGAAACAAATTTACTACATTCTTTATTGTCCTTTTATCAAACTTTCATATTGAGATATATTAAGAGTATAACATGAGATATATTGAGTACCCCATACAAAATTTTAATTCTGTGCTTCATATTGTAGTGGTTAACGCGCTCGGGAATTACTGACAGTTAAGCAATATATGTACACTGGCCGACTAAAAGATGGGTTGCAAAGGCGCGACAATTCGTTGATCTCGGCTGCATTAGTTAACTCCCAAGGTCATCTTCATCCCCGTATCAAAATTTAATGGAATTGGTTCAGTACTTTGGGCATGAAACCGCTACGGACAGACCGAGCTGTTTCGCAAATATTTAAAAATAATAAAACTGTACATGGTGAGACATTCAGTAACACTGATCATAAATTAATAAGTTAAGAAAATCTTTAAAACAATATCTGATCAACATATTTTTTTGCTAAACAAAAGATATCGCATCAACTGGAACACCCTCAACATTTAAAATTAGAACGCGCGGAAAAGATAAGAAGTTAAAAAAATATATGTCTGCAAAGGAGGTCGGTCAGTCGTCAACTAATAATATCGATATGGATTAAAAAAGATCTGTAAAAGTTGTCACTCCGTCGGCGTATTACGCGTCGGTGTACGCAACCTGCTTGCGAAAATCGCGCTGTAATAAAATTTGTATGTAACGATGGCATCGCAATACTGTCATCGGCGACATTTCGTATTTACGACAGCCGTGGTTGTTGTGCCGCACGGACCGCCCCAGCCCTTCCCCATGCAAAGGCTACATACACATTTATAAAATGGGAAGATGAACCAATGACATAAACTTACCAAGGAGAAAAAAAATAATTAGATGCGATGAAAATAAGGCTAGGCTCATATGTATGGTTTTCTGATTAGGGACTTAAATTCGGTATTCCTTGAGCCTAGTGCAGACGTTTCGATTTTTTTTATTACCTAGATAATTTCCGAACTCAACGTTGGGTTTTTCTATTCTAAGCAAATAAGAATAGTGCCCGCCTTATTGAAAATTTTGTATGTAAGTACGAGTACGTACGTGTATTCAGGCCTTCGAATCGGAATTCCTGATCAGGAAACCGTACATATGAGCACAGCCTAAGCATATACAATAATAAGTCAGGTGACTACCTCCCTCCTCCCCCCACACCCGTTTCCAGTTTATTTTTCAATTTTTAACTATTGGTTATAATATTTGTTTCTTAGGTTTTCACGCACATCACTCATTAAATAAAACTAGTTTTTACGGGTTAATGCACGAAACTTTATTTATTTATTGACGTTTCGTAGCCTTTACAGGCTACGTCGTCAGAATTAAACTTTTATATAAAAGTTTTATTATAAACCGTAAAAACTAGTTTTATTTATTGGTTATAACCTTGTCGTACGTGGTAAAAAATTCGACAAAATCGCAAGGTCGTGAATGAAATGCATCAAGATTCTACATAGGTCTGTTGTATATGAAATAATTGGTCTTCACTTTAGCCGGAATGAGGGAATGAGCCACGCGGGAATACATTGTCACCAGCAGTGTTTCCGGACCAATATGACTTGAAAACCTTCAAAAAAAGAGCGTATTCCTACCTTATAGGCCGGCATCGCATTGTGATACCCCTGGTGTTGCAGATGTCTATGGGCGACGGTGATCACTTACCATCAGGTGAGCCGAAAAGACCGATGATGCTACTTAAACAGTCCATATTACATCATCAAACATTATTACGTCACATTAATTATAACTATGGTGCGCAAAAGCGTTAAACTAAACTTGAAAATCAATTTAAAGTTGTATTAAAATTTTAATTACATAATATGAACAAGTCTTTACCCACCCATGGGGGATGTAACACGAACAGCAGACATCGCATCGATCACTCTTTATTATTCGTTCGGTTCTCTCGCACCTCTCGCCTCGCCCGCCTGTACATATCCCGTACAAATTTATTAATTCGCAATCCTAACTACACTCTCCATATACATATTACATAGGTAATCCTACTTATATTATAAAGGCGAAAGTTTGTTTGTAAGTGTGTGAATGTGTATGTTTGTTACTTCTTCAATTCTAAACAACTGGAGTGATTTTAATAAATATTTGGTATGAAGTTAGCTCTCACCCTAGATTAACACATAGGCTACGTTTTACTGCGGGAAAATGTCCCTAATAAACCGCGGATAACACCGCGGGGCACAGCTAGTTGCTAAATAACTCTGAAAGAGCCTGCACATAGAGCAACACGGAAGGAAGTAATCATAGCGACATAAAATTATTTAAATCATTCTGTAATTTTTTGCGGGGGTAATATGCACCCATTTGCAATTTAACGTACACGCATATAAAACAAAACTGTAACTACGACACGCATACATATACAATGACACCATATATATTCAAATCCTGCACACACATATCGTTTGTATGTCCAATTTGTATGCCCAACCCGGCAGAGGGAACGCTGTGTATCTCTCCCTCTGGCCTCCTGGCCGCGTCGGCCGTGTTGCTCTATGAGCCTGCAGACATAGACAGACTTTTAATCAACTTTTTTAATTCAGCGGATGATTGGAATCTTAGAAAGTATAAAGTCTGCGAGATCTGTAAACCATGATTAAGAGATGTACGTACCTACCTCTACTCACAAGCTGTGTTTGATTTGGATAATCTACCTGATGGAACCTGCACGATATCGAAAGACTATTTTCATGATTTTTGAGAGCGATTTTATAATATATGATTTCAGTCGTTTTACGAACTGTAAGAGGTGATGACGCGCTTTATCCTTATTTGAAATTAACAAAAATAACTGTTTAAACCGTGTGAGGTGTAGTCTTGATTATTTTCTTCTGTAAGGCGGTGGATACTTCTAGCAGCAACAGACAGTAGCTCTATTTCAAGCGGCAAATGCTGTTTAAAATGATTTCTTATCAATTATTATGAAAATAGGATCATTGAAAAATATCTTGTATTCGCTAGCATAACTTTTCCTTACCATTGTAAATCCAGAATTATATTAGGGTAAGCAACCGCTATCATAAGAAGCCATAACTATCCCCATATTTATTATTATAAGTAATAAACATCAGAACACAATACATTAACTGATTGCAAAGCAAAACTCCGAGTATCATGTTTCTCATTGTTGTGTTATGACGTCCAATTCTCATATAATATTCGGGTGAGCCTTTATCTAGCTACATTAACGGTGTAGCGCTGTCAA